GGGGGGGGGGGTGGGGGGGGGGGTGGGGGGGGGGGGGGGGGGGGGGGGGGGGAATACGGTCGCTTTTCGCAAGCAATTGCAATAGAAACGTGGGTGAATGGAGTCGCTCTTCGTAGCGAAAAAGGGGGAAAAAAAGGATTAGAATACCTTATAGAAAAATATAGCAGACAGCAGAGCCTCAGCAGAGGAAAAGGACGATCCCAGAGACCCCGAATCCTGAGACTTCGAGGCCTGAGTGGGCTCGGTCCGGCGATCGAGTTTCGAGTCGGGTAGGACCACGATTCGAATCGGGCCGATGGGATCAGGTGAGGAAAAGTCCACCCGTGTAGGCCTCCGACGGACAGACGGAGGACAGCAATACCTCGGCTATTATTATCATAAAGTAGAGGTACTCGGAGTTGGACTGGTGAATATTGCATGGATCCCATATCTGTCTGCACTAAATAAGAAATAAGGCACCTTGAGGCAGGGCCGGATTGAGTGGTAGGGGAGGGGCGGGGAGGGGCGGGTAGGGGCTGGGGGGGGGGGTTGTAGTCTTGGGCCGGCCTGACCCTGCCCTGCCCTGCCGAGTCGGAATTTTGAAACGCCACCAAGCCTATGACCATCCACGTACCAAATGGGGAAGCCATGCAAAGTTTGGTCGGACTGGGACCAGAGGAGTGGCAGTGCATAAAGGACAGAGAGACACACAAACATTCGGAAATTCGGCTTTGGTAGCGCTTATTGGTAGCGAGAAGGAGATAGTACGGACTGTGAGGGTTATAGGAGGATCACGCGGACGTTGAAGCTGGAAATTAGATCTGCGAGACGGTAGCGAGAGGATCGGCTGGCTAGCGATGCTAAGAAGAACCCTAAGGCTTTTTATCGGTATGGTAGTGGTAGTTGTCGACAGTCGATCGGGCCGCTAATAACGAAAAGAGGGAGTTGATTGCACGTAATAAGGATATGGCCAGTATACTTAACGAGTTCTTCGCTCCGTTTTCACTGTGGAATCCGACTCGACACCGACTTTGGAGGAGATGACCCAAACAGCGGAAGGAAGTCGAAGCGTATATCCGGATCCTCCCATTCATCGAATAAAGGAAGACTCCCCATTCATCCTTCCTCGACTTCCTCCGACCCCCCTCCCCCATCCCCTCAATGCCTTATATAAACGAGACTCATCTGAATCCCCGCACAGCAGCGGACCGCCTCGACCGTGAAGTCCATCGTGGTTGCAATCCTGAATCTCGCACCTGTCCTCGAAGTGAACGCACACAGAGGTCAGACCCGTGACGATAGTCAATTCAGATATCTCTTTTTACGATGTTGAAGTGAATCTCAAGTTCGCCGATGACGATCCAGAATACTTTTCTTGTTCAGGCGGGGAACACGATGGTCCATTTCGTGAGTCATAAACATTGTTCATGTTTCTGGTAAAATTATTCATTATTCAATTATTCATGTATCTAACAAGTCAAGAATTTCCATTACGCTTTATTGTTTTTCATAACCTCAATGACCTTTTTCGCGTCCGTGTCAACCAGCTGGATCCAAGTGTTTCGGAGCGTGGGCGAAGCGCCAGGTAAGAGCGACTCCCAACGTGAATCAAATACAAAAATATAAAAACTTAAAAAAAAAAAAAAACGCTGGTCCCTTCCGTCAGCGCCGGGGAGAATACCCCCCCGCCCAGGAGGCATGCGGCCAGCCGATGACGAGCGGGGAGACCGGGAAGCTGGACCGGATGGCCCTCGACGCCTACCATCGCTTCTCCACGTCGAATGACGCCGCAGCCGGTCTGGAACATTTCCCGCCTTTTCTTTCTCTTGATGATCGCAGTCGCGGATTGCTTTGTGGCGGTACGGGATCCGGAAAATTAGTTTAGTTGGGAATCAGGAACCGTGCCTAAGGGCATACTGCCTTCTTCCCACGCTCAGTTTGCATTCCGAAAGAGGCAGTAAATTTAGCCACTATTAGTTGGTAGCCCGTGCAAATCCACGGAAGAAGTTTAAAGAAAAAGGATGCGAATATTGCCATTGAGGGAGGTCGACATCCCCTCATCCCTTGGATCCACCACTCACTTCTCAGGTGAGAAGACAGGACGCTGAAAAAGAGGAATCCTAATTTCTCGAAGGTCCGCCCCTGCGCTTCGTCAATCTTCATGGCAAGGGACGGGGAACCGACGCCGAGCGAAGACGAAGGGCATCCCAAAGATTCGGCGTTACCTTAAACCGACGCGCTCTAAGACGATGCGGTATGTGGGCTTTCGTTGGCGGCCTCACGCCACCCACATCGCAACCCGCCGCGCCCTTTTCCGAACGTCAGCGACCAAAGGCCGTGTGTACCTCATACTATGGCTATGGGACTCTTACTATCGCGCTGTGCTCACGCGTGAATCATGTGTGCGCGCGCATGCCATCGAGCACCACCACGAACCACAGGAGATTTTAATAGGTGGAAAATAACTTGCAAATAAATTAAATTTCTGGTCAGCGCGGAATCCTGGAAGCGCGAATCTTCTATCGGCAAGAAGTCGGATAAATAGAGTTCTTCGCCGACATGCTCCACAGGAGCGCCAAACTCATACGTTGTTTGGGAATTTCTAACTTTTCTGATTTTTTTTTCTTTGGGCCGAATGCAACGTGTAGCTATTCCCTGAATCCTTTCCTTTTGTTGGGACAAACGGGCGTCTATTTCACCGGCTCACGTAGCTTTTGTTAAAGAGGCTGCAAGAGCGTTTCCACTCCTTTGTAAAAGGGAAGCTTAGCCGGCCAAAAGCAGAATCGGAGTTTGCTACTGTAAGATTAAATCATTCCGGGAACATACGATCCCACGAGTCCTCGGATTCCCTTCCCATTCCTGCCTTTGGGTCTGCCCTTCCAAATCGAGGGTTCATCCCTCCTCGTGGAATCCCGGATTTTTCCTTTCTCGACCAGGAAGAGGAGGTTCGCGAGTGCATCCTCGACCGGCTGGGCTTCCTCGAGAACGGCACGATCTCCCTCGAGAACATTCTGGATTTCCACACCGCCTCCGACGCCGTGAGTCATTCCCTTCCATGAAAATAATTTAAAAAAAGATAGAAAAAATCGTAGGGAAGTATGACAGGCGAAAACGTGCGGTTCCTTCAGTTTACGACAGCCATGACCGAGTGCGTGGAAGAAGCCGATGCCGAGTCGGGTGACATGGCGGCGAAGGCAAGCGTCACTTCGAACTCGTCTTTCTCGCATTTTCCATTCCATGATTACATATTTCCTCTTCGATTTATTTAAATTGAAGTTTTCGTCGATGCTATTGCCCTCACACCGCTCTGCACGGTTGCCCAGGTGACGGCACTGTTCTCGTGCTGGGAAGGAAAGGTGGCAGAGAAGGCCTCTCGTGGCAAGTGCTCCGAACGCGGGGACCGCCCCGGGGGTGGCGGCGGTGGCGGCTTCGGGGGTGGACGCGAAAGTGGACGCGGACGTGGACGCGGACGTGGTGGCTTCTATTGACCGGGCGAGGTGGGGATAGGGACCGTAGGTGAATTTTGAGCTTTGCTTTGCGTCTTTACGGGTAGCTCACGAAAAGGCCAAAGGTCGTAAGTCAAAAAAAAAAATTATAATTACGCCGATTCATTAAGTAAGCCAGCTATTAAAAGAGTCGACCTCGGCACCGCTCGCATCCTAGGCCCCCCCCCCCTCTTGCGAGATTCCCTCGTCTCCATCGATGCACGATTCCGCCTTTCGCTCTTTTTCAGATCTTCCACGTGCCAAAGCGACCCTCGAGTTTTCGATTGGAGACGATTCGTCCTTCTCTTCCCGCATTCTTCATAGATGGCAGAATTCATTTCCATGCATTCTAATAAACCTTTCAGCAGCAACCAACTACCGCTTCCTCAAAATGTTTTAATCATTTTTACGTTTTGCAAGACACTGGACTAAGACTAACATCAGGCCTAGACGATGACGAGAATCCAAAACCAAATTATTATTTAACCCTTTTGCTGCGTTAATTTTCGAAGGTACATTCCTCGAGTCATGAGTGGAAATTTTTTAAAACTTTGAAAAAATATTTTTAAATTGCCCTAAAGTTTGTTTAGCGATTTAAGTACTTCTAATTTATGGGAGGAAAATCCTTCATTCAATTTATATTAATTGGGAAAACGCAGTCTGAATTCAATGATATGATTCAATCATGATTCAGGAGCAGCCCACTGAATTCCGGCTTATTAAAGGTCAGACCTTGATCAATATCTCTTTTCGAGCAAAAACATTGGAAATTTTGGAAAGGGACGGGGCTATTTGAACGACGAAGTTGGTGGGGCTGAAGTAACAAAAGGGCTTTCATAGTTTTCCTCATTCCTCCCAACCACTCACACTCCTGGGCCACTTCGTCATCTCATGAGCCTGAAAGAACCGAAAGTAATTCCTGGCTACGTGCCTGACCTCGATATCACTGAGAATGGCCCCCCCCCCCCCCCCAGTATATTGTTGGTATGGAAGGAGTTGAAACAACGCGTCTGGAGAGGCGGACGAAAAGGAGGAAGTCTGCAAATATCACAGAATAGCACACTCAATTTCTCGGGATTTTGTTGATGTTCCAGGCGCTGGAGACTACTTTGATACTAAACAGATATGTGTGACGCATGGAAACGTCGCATTAGCAGAAATAATGTACACAAGATAGGGTAAAGGCACCAGTTTGTGGACATGTGAATGAAAATTTCTTGCTGAAAATTGCATTACGGTCGCTGGGGTAACCGAGAAACCGCTTGCTTGGTTTCAATGGGTTGCCGGCTATCATAGTTTGATGGCCATACCCTAAAGTAAAAAATTAAAATAAACTTTTCTAACAAAAGCTGTCTAATTGTATATGCGTTGATTTTTCACCTGGTTCCAGTATGTGGACAAATTTTTTTTGCCAACAAATATCAAACGTGCGTAAGCCGAATAGAAAAATATGAGTAACTCAAGAATTTGCATGATGATGTTTTATTGTTGCGGATCATCTCGATAACATCTATGGGTACGTATTAACCAGCTGGATCGAGCTGTTTTCCAAGAGAGAACCTTTTTCCAAGAAGTTATGAGCATCTCAAAAAGATGGAATCATACAAGCATTACGATAATGAAAGATCTTGGGTCGACCGAAAACGCTGCTCGCTGTGGAAGAAGTAAGGGATTTGGCGCGGGGGGGGGGGGGGGAAACGGGCGCTTTTCGCAAGCA